GTGCCGATTCAACACCAGACCACCTGGGAGTCAACATCTGGGAGGTGGTAGGATGGGCGACACATGTTTATAGTTTGAAAAAAAAAAAACGAAAATAAGTTACCTCAACATTGCAAATCTTCTTAAGTTGAGAAAGAAAAAATGTCTGATGTGTTTAGTGATGAAGAATAAAAATGAAGATCATGAGTACAAAAGCACAGAGGGAGCTAATATGCAGGGAGACTGTGTCAACCTCCTATTAGTGGATGGCATTTGCTGCATAATAATGTCATTATGTGGTAGCACAAATCTCTCTTAGGTGAGAGTTGTCTAAAAGCTGGTGGCATGAAAATCTCTAAGGCAGACGCATGGGAAGATAGCTTTCTGTGTGCAGAAGCATCACCTTGGAATCACAGTAGGAAACAAGAAAAACTAAAGCACTCCTCAGTGCATACAAAGACAAACAAAACATACTGTTGAATTTAATCATCTTTATTAAACAGAGCCACTAATATAAAAACATGCAAATATTTAATACTTCACTATTTAGTAATAAAACAACAGCAAACAGGAGGCATATATTTAATTAATATTTTCAAACCCATCATTTCATAAATTATGTCTTACTTCTTACTTTCACTTAAAAATAATATCAGATACAAAGAACTAGCTAGGTTTAATAAGCTTATTTTCTTTCCCAATGTGTAACCTAATAATTATAATGCTAAGTATACATTTGAACTGACAGTTTGTTTGTACAGGATTGAAAGTGGGTGATTTCAGCACTATTACAATTGCAGGCAGACTGTTCAGAAGTATTCAACATAGATTTATGAATTAACATGTCAGTGGAATCTTTTTATGAACAAAACATACTCAGACCAATAAGATGACTTAAAACTACTTGTTCACCTACATTCATCCATTTGGAATGCTATAGAAGTGTCACATGATTATAGTAATTACCAGGATAATATTATTCTGATAACACTTTGGAGGTACTGCTTCCTCCCAAAAAAACTGCCCCCCACTAATTTGAATCTCATGCCAACAACACTTTCCTTTCTAGACCACTTCAAGATATTGATCTTCTCAGATTTATTTTGTAGCCTCATTGCAACTACCAAGTTTCATGATTGATTATTCAAGCAGCCCATCAGTTTTCAAGTTAAATATTTAAAGTGAAAAGCTTCTTTGTCTAAGAATATTTACATCAATTTTCACAGATATGTATATTTTTCCACCCTCAGTTCATATTAAACTACCATTTGAGA